ATACAAAAAATTCTTATAACTCAACAATAAAAAGACAAATAGCCCAATTTTTAAATGGGCAAAAGACTTGAATAAACATTTCTCCAAAGGTGATATACAAATGGCCAATAAGCACATGAAAAGATACGCAGCACCATTAGTCATTAGGAAAATGCACACTGAAATACGATGAGGATACCATCACTAGGACTGTCATAATCAGACAATAACAAGTGTTAGTGAGAATGTAAAATTGGAACTCTCATAAATTGCTGGTGGGAATATAAAGTAGTATTGCCACTTTGGAATACAGTCTTGCAGTTCCTCAAAAAGTTAAATAGTTACCATATGACCCAGCAAGTCCACTGCTAGGTATATAACCAAGAGAATTCAAAACATATATCCACACAAAAACTTGTACATTAATGTTCACAGCAGCATTACTTATAAGAGCCCAAAGGGGAAACAACTCCGTTGTCCATCAGCTTCTAGATGGAGAACAAAATGGAATACTATTCAGGCATAAAAAGGAATGAAATACTTTAAAGTGCTACAAGATGGATGAACCCTGAAAACACTATGGTAAGTGGCAGAAACCAGACACAAAAGGCCACAAATAGGATTCCATTTATACTAAATGTCCAGAATAGGCAAATTCTTAGATACAGAAAGCAGGTGAGTAGTGATTGCCAGGGGCTGGAGAGACAGGGAGGAATGGGGGAGTGATTATTTAATGGGTATGCGATTTCTTTTGGGGTGATGAAAATGTTCTGGAATTAGATAGTGGTGATGGTTGCACAATCTTGTGAATGTAGTAAAAACCACTGATTTGTAAATGTTGAATTTAAAATGTTAAATTTTATGGTATATGAATATCTCAATAAAAAATTGCACAGGAGCCGGGCGCGGTGGCGCGCGCCTGTAGTCCCAGCTACTCGGGAGGCTGAGGCTGGAGGATCGCTTGAGCCCAGGAGTTCTGGGCTGTAGTGCGCTATGCCGATCGGGTGTCCGCACTAAGTTCGGCATCAATATGGTGACCTCCCGGGAGCGGGGGCCACCAGGTTGCCTAAGGAGGGGTGAACCGGCCCAGGTCGGAGACGGAGCAGGTCAAAAAATTGCACAGGAATAGTAAACACCAAATTCAGGAGAGTCTTTACCTGGGGGGTGGGGGGCGGTACACTTCAGAGGACCTTCAGCTTAATTAGCAATGTTTTCTTTCACAATGTTTTACGGTGGGTATAAGGGTATTTGTTACACTAATCTTCATACCTTTCTCAATGTTTTCATAATAAATAGTATTTAAAAGTAGTGCCCTGTCCAGGTGGCTCAGTTGGTTGGAGCATCATCCCGTACACCAAAAGGTTGCAGGTTTGATTCCCTAGTCAGGGTGTGTATGGGTGGTAACCAATCAATGTTTCTCTCTCCCCCTGCCTCTCTCTCTAAAATCAATACAAACATATCCTCAGGTGAAGATTTAAAAAAAAATTTTTTTTAAGTATTTACTGAGTGCTGACCTAGACCAGGCACTGGGCTACCTGCGGTATGATGGTGATAAAGGCAGATCCCATCCTGCCCATAAGTGGGTAAGTGAACAAACAAGAGAGGCTGTAAGTCCTCTATCCTTTCTGTGCTCGTTTCCTCACGGATGAAATGAGAGCTGGAGAAGAAGCCTCTTAGTAGAAAGTCTCTGAGGACCGTGGGGGGCTGAGGAATATGTCTCCCTGTGACCAGCCACAGCTTTAAGAGTTCATGCACGATGGGAGCACAGGCCCTGGAATCAGTCCAGGTGCCATCAATCATTGCAAGCCGGCCTAAGGCAAAGCCCAACTGAGCCTCTGTTTCTTCTCAGTAACACAGGGACAATAACGTCTCCCTCCCAGGATTACCCCAGGGGTGTAAATGAGATAACACATATAAAGTATCTGGGACAGGCCTGGCACACAGTAAATCCTCAACACATGGCAAGGCCTCACTTTGATTCCACAGGCATTCCGGAGCAGCCCTGCAGGCCTGCCATAAGGGCTGGAAGACAGAGGAATTCCACTCTGAATGGCCAAGCAGTGGACCCCCGGCCAAATGGGGAAACAGCCTCATAAACAACATACCAGGCGGTGTGATGTAATTGCTAAAAAGAGACAGCAGCCATGTGCACATTGCAGACCACGTACAATGCAGACCCTGGGATGGCAGAGATGCCCCACTCAAGAGGTCCAGGCTTGAAAAGAAGCAAAGTCTTGAGACCAGAGAGACCTCAGGCAAGTTCTCTAATTCTGGGTTCCTTGACTTGGAATCCCTGAGTGGGCCTAGGAGGTCTGTGAATACCTCTTCATAGTGTGCAAAAAGTTTGTCTAATGGAGATTCTTAAAAATGTCTGTGGCCACAAAGCTAACAAACCACTGAGGTGACCTAACTTGGCACACCTTCTTATCCACCCTATGGAGATACAGTATAGTAAGTCCTCACTTAATGTCGTTGATAGGTTGTGCTACTTTAAGCAGAACGATGGATAACAAAACCAATTTTATCATAGGCTAATTGGTATAAACAGGAGTTAAGTTCCTACAATCCTAACGAACAAAATGAAGTTATTGGAGGACCTGCTGTGCCTACCTGGAAAGGCTGTGATATTACGTGAGGTAGTTTATGAGAAGCACCTGGAGCATCCTCGGCTTTCACGTAATGTTGGTTTCCTTCCCTCTCTCCCTCCCCAGCTTATTTCCATCATTCAGGACGTATTGAGCATCTACTACATGGCAGGCACCATTACAGGTGCTGGGTGTAAAGTGGTGGACAAGACAGGTATTGTCCCTCATTTCATGGAGCTCACATTTTAAAGCAGGGAAATACCAGATACATAAAATTAGTAATTTCAGACACTCATAGGTGCTATTAAGAAAATACATAGGATAATGTGATCCAGACAGATGGGGTGAGGATGACGTCTGAAGAGGAAACATCTGAATAACAAGTAGGAGCCAGTCATAGCAAGATTTGGGAGCAAACCACCTGGGCAGAGGGAGCAGGAAGGGCAAAATCTCACGGGGTAGACCCTTGGCCAAGAGCCCCTCACTCCCAGTTCCACCACTAACTGGGTGCCGGTGAATAAGTCACATAGCTTCTGAGGCTCAGCTGCCACATCTATGAAATGGGAATAAAAACACCTTACCTGCCACAATGTGAGGGGACTCAACCAAAAGGCTTTTAAGGTCTGGAATCCTCCCCAAATCTCACCAATAGACACCTGATATATCATTTGACACCCATCTTGGAGCAGGGGAACCTGCATAGAAAATCCTGGGTCATGCTTTTTGTTTTTATGCTGAACTAGAAATAACTTTCTTTGTTCCTAGTTAACACAGCAGGCTTTTCCTGCCACCCGGGGCTTATTATAGTAACTGCTGCTTCATACTCTTCCTCCGGTATGAAAGGAGACCAAGGAAAGACACCATGGAAACACTGTTGTAATAACCAGACTACTACCCCTTCCCGCCCCCCTAACAAGGTTGGAGGGCTCGGTCTGTCCTGCAGACAGAGAATGTAAATGCTTTATTTAAGAAGTTGGGAGCATCCTGGCCCCTTGGTTAGACCACTGATTTATAACCAGTCATAATATTCTCTCCTAAATATCTCTTTAATCTATCCCCTTCTCTCCATCTCTCAGCCACTGCTTCCTCATCTCACAGCTTCGTGGGAGCTCTCTCTCTCTGGCATTAGTCTCAGACTTCCAAACCACTTGCCACACTGTAACCAACGCCAAACACACATAAAAGACCATGTTTCTCCCCTGCTTAAAAGTCTCAAGACAGCTCCCCACTGCTCATTGGACAAATGCCAAACTCCTTTACCTGGCACCCAAGGCTCCCTCCCCAAAGCTGAGCTCCTCCCAGGCCTGTTCCAGCTCCCAGGCCCTTCTCAGCATCCACACCAAACTCCCCAGTCTCCAAAACAGGCTGAGCCGCACTTAGAATGATGTGCCTTTGCTGCTGCTCATGCAGCTTGGCACACTGTCCCCGTTCCTGCCTCTCACTGCCATCCCTACTTTCTTAACTGCCTTCCCACTCTACCCACCGAGACCCCTACAGCCTTCCCTGACTCCCCAGAAGAGCAGTTTGCAAGGCTCCCTCCCCAATCAGAGGTGAGAGTAGAGGCTGTGTCTTATTCATGGTTAATTCTCCGGAGCCTGGACTGAAATTCAGTTTTAACTAAAATTCCTATCAGGTGCTTCGGGTTGAGAAGAATCCTATCACAACCCAGAAAGAAGGGAAGCCATCAAGAAGTGAGGTGGGGGTAGGTACAAAGAATCTGCATTAAAAAAACAAAAAACAAACAAAAAAAACCTGCCCCAGACCCTGACAGAAGTGAGATTGGACATTTTGAGAAACACTGGGTCACCATCACCGGTTCCTAAGTTTAAAATCGCTGGAAAAGTGAAAATGCCTTTCTTTGCAGGCAAAGTGGTTCTCAACCTTCCTAATGCCGCGACCCTTTAATACAGTTCCTCATGTTGTGGTGACCCCCAATTTCATTGTTACAAATTGAACATAATTAAAGCATAGTGATTAATCACAAAAACAGTATGTAATTATATATGTGTTTTCCGATGGTCTTAGGCGACCCCTGTGAAAGGGTCGTTCGACCCCCAAAGGGGTCGCGACCCACAGGTTGAGAACCGCTTAGTAAGCTTTCCAGGCAGCTGTCCCGGCACCAGAGGAATCGGGTGGGCTTTTCTGGGACCTGACGGAGTGGGAGACAAGCCCGGGTCCAACACCGGCTCAGCCCCTAACGTGTAGGGGACCCCGCGCGGGTCTCTGCCCCTCGCTGGGCCTCCATTACCTCCCCAGCCTCGCCAGCTGTGAGCCCCGAGGCAGTGGCTGCCCCATTCCGGGGAGGTGTCCCCCTTTCACCTTGGACATCACCAGCTCGGACGCCCTACGAGCTACGCAAACCCGCAGCGCCCCGCCGACCCAGCCCGACTCCTCCTTTCCTCCCCAAAGTCTTGTCCGCCTGGGAAGCCCACGCACCCCTATACCAAGGCTGCCCTCACACGGGCGGCCCCTTCCGGCCGCCATCCGTCTCCACACGCACGGCCTCCTGCCCC